GATCGTGGCGCTGTAGCTGAAGACTCTTGGCTCGATCTGAGCCACTCGCATGGACTTGAACAAGTTCCTTGGACACGGACGCGCCAGTCACCGCGTCATGCATCTGGAGAACATCAAACCCCATTGAAACGCATTGGACGCAAATGTGGAAACGCATTCGGCCATGGAACTGGGGAAATGAGGGCCGCCGAAGACCGGGAGTGTCTGCTACGCTGCTGTTTGGAGGGACAACACCTATACGTGTCTTGCTCTGGATCTCACCCGTGGAAATTGAGAACCACTGCTCAAACATGATCAGGGTTCAAAGCATGTTGCCACAATTTGGACCTGGCGCATGACGCAATCCCAGCAGCATAAGTTGATTCATTCAGCCCAGAAAAAAGCAGCTCGCCGCGCTCACCTCGCCTTCGTCGTATCGCTTGTAGCAGGGCAAAGGCCAAGTGACCTCGTTTTTGCTGACCTAGGATCTTCAAAGCTGGGTTTAATATCTCTTTGGATTGCAGCACTTCAGGCAACAAAATGGTGGCCACGGTGCCTTCGGTCGCCTCTTCGCAAAGAGCTTTGAGACGCTGCACTGCAGCGGCTGAGCCCGCTCGGGCAGCGGATTTCAACTTGCTCCGTCTCATGGCAGAGCAATTCCAAAGCTCCACGAGGGATGATCCATGGCGCAGCGACGTTCAGATGGGGATCCATCCAAAACCACTCCAAAATGGGCTGAAAGCGCCTTCTACTGGTGAAGCTGTGAGTCGAGTCAAAGTCTTGAGCTCCTCATGTGACGGATGATCCTTCACTGAGAGTTCATGAGCATCCCCAATTTCGACCTGTCTGGGATGGGCATCTGGACCAGGCCGGTGGTTCTGCGTCAATGATCCCAGCTCCTACGGAGCGATTGGGATCCCAACGGTGCAAGAAGTAAGGAAAAACATCCTTTGAGCTGTCAACGAGGCCAACATGGTCACAAATGGGACTCCTGACTTCTGGTGGTTCACCCCTGTGCATATTCTGCCCATGAAATGCCACCTGTTTAACACCTGTTGACTGATTTCCGGTGCATCTGAGGCTCATTGGAGCGTCTACAGTCTACACATCCGCCATCAAGTTGGTTGATGAAATCTGCTTCAGGTTCGAAGACGGGGTATTTTGTACCTACTCATACCTTCGAGTTGTACTGGGGATGGTTGGACATACAGTAAGCGACCGCCCAGGAGAATCCTTAAGTAGCAAAGTGGCACCCTAAAGAATTTTGGAAACCGCTTCGTTTTTAGGACCGCCATGGACCGCCTGTATTAAACGATGCCACAACTGGAAGAGTTTGCATTGGAAGAGCTCTTGCCCACCAATGTGTCCACCACATGTTCAAAGCGATTCATCTCTCTCTTCGGCACCGAGCTGCGCTCGGCATCTCTCCGGCCGCCGCCATGTGCTGCGCTGCCCGCAGCTCCGCATGCAACGGGGTGGGGCTGGTAGGCAACAGTTGCCCACGGCGTGCGGGCGCAGACACAAAGCCTCGGGCGAACCAGAAGGGATCAATGGAGAAGGCGAGTTAAAGAATGTCCATCTCACGGAGGTTTGCAGCTCCTGGACCGTCTGGATTGGACAACCCTTAGGCCTTAGGCTTGTGATTTAACACGTGCGCAGGCGTCTCCGATCATCTCCCATCAAAACGAATTCGATGATGATAGCTGGTCAGGACTGGTGCGGTACGTACTGACCATGTGGGACCGCGGCCGGAGTTGCCATCGGTTTTTGTCCTCTGAGCCCACCATCCGAGACGTGGGATATCATCCAAGGCAAATGGGCTGACATCATTTTGCCCGAATCTATGAGTTCAAACATGTTCAAACATGTTCAAACTATAAACATGCCGCATGTCACAGCGGGGTGCACAACACAAAGGTCCGGAGTGTCCAACTCGCATCTTAATGCTGTCCAGCCTCTTCTAACCGTCAAGCAACGCTGGCCCCGAACTGCACCAGCTCAACCAGGGAGCTGCAGCTACGAAACCAGCTTATAGACCAACTTAATCTAGACTTATAGAATTCTTATAGGCCAACTAACCAGCTCATATACAGTAAGACTATCTCACCGACTATCTCTACGTCAAGCTGCGACTAACACCCAACTCATAGGGCCAAGCCATGCGCCAAGGCACCGAGCACCAGTGCACCGCCCAGGGCTGGCCAAAGCTTTCGCCACTGCACATGGCATCCCAGGACTGGGCGCCAGCTGTTGAGCGACACCTGCCTGACGACATCGCCATGCAAATCCATGGACGTCCAGGACCCATCCCACGGCGTGGTTCTTCGTTCTTTGGGGGGAAAGGGAAGTGGAAGGAACCCCAAAATGGGGTCCAGCTGGCCCCCAGGACCCTGGCTTTGGAAAAACAAAACATCCGAACTGGATGCGCTCTTTGGGCCCCCCCTCCGGGCTCCCCAGTGTCTCAGTGTGTGACATACAGCTTTACATCATGGGCCATAGATGTTTCTGAAAAAAATCGAAATCACCACCACCACCGCTTTTTGAGCGGGTGCGGGTCCGCACGGCGTCCGGCGTCCCAGATTGGAATCGCCGCCTGAGCAAGGCGTGCAAGGAGATCCAGCTTAGGAGGTAGGCTCCAAGCCTCAGGGCCCCAGCAAGAGCCAGCGGGAGAGCGGTACTGCTCCCCTACGCGACCCAGCTACACGAGCCAGCCAGGGCTAGCCAGGGCTAGCCAGGATCAGTTGGGTTGGTGTTTTGGGGAGTCAAAGGGGGTTGGAATCGGACGGCAGGCCCTACGGAGTGGACGGTGAAGCACGCGGACGTCCACATGGACGTCAGGATCGATGGTGATGGCGCTGGACGTCGACTGGTACTTTCTAAGGGGAGATTTCTTCAAGAGAAACCATGCGAAATTGGTGTCTACAGCTTCGAAACCTTCATCCTCTTCAAACAAGACCGTGGCTGTCCAGATTCCTAGATCCCACAGAAAGATTGCGATTTGCTCCAAAATGTTCGACAAACCCTACGCTACTGAATGGCTCCGATGCAAGGTTCGGGTTGTTGGCTTTTTCATGGGCCCTCAAAACGGCGCACTCCAGGACACAAAGACTGAAGCAGGTTGCTCTGCTATATAGTATGAACTCCCAGAGAGCAGGTGGAGAGATGCGGATTTCGCACAGAAGAGATTCAACCAGATTTCCTCCCTATGCCGCCCAAGCCGCTGTGCCGCCCAAAGCTGTGTTAACCACTCATCGTGCTGCTGGAAACGAACGGCGGCCGCCTCCCCGGCCGCGATGTACCAAATGTAGATCTGCAGCCTCGCTGACACTTTTGGAGGAAAAAGAGTTGCAAACCATTGGCCTGATTGACATTTTTGGAGGCTAGAGGGGGTTCCTCGTTCATTTCAGTTTCCAAAAGACAATTGAAACATCAAAGGCCACAAGCATAGCCAGGAAAACCTTCACCCCACCCCACCCCACCCCAAAAAAGGAAACCCGTCTATCTACCAAGGGGCAACAACTTCCATGCTTGAACGCGGGTGTCTGCAAGGTACTTCGGTGCCTCTCTGCTTCAGCATTCACTTCCAATAAGGATCGAAACAGGTGAAGTCTTGAGAAGCCCGGTTCATTGCAAAGCGCTGTTGGTGACCACCTAGTGAAGCGCCTGAAATACCCTGCCGGCCTGTCCGCGCCCTCGCGTGAAACGGGACCATCGACCAGTCGGGCTCACGGGACCGGTGCATCCAGGACGCATGACACTCGCCACATCCCACAGATCCCAGGGGCACTCGGGCCACACCGGGCACCTCCTGAGCACGACGACGATTCGGGCCACGCCACACGAAGGAGAGGTGGCCACAGGGCGAGAGGTGGACGGATCGGTTCGTGGGCCGCATCGATGGTGTTCATTCTTGAGCTTCTCCTTCTTGAACTTATTCTTCTTCGGGATCTCACACAAGTTGCCATGTTCAAAGTGGTGACCCCTATTGAAATACATGCCTGACTTTCTCGAAAGTCGATCCTGCTGGATGCTGGCTCTGGCAACATTGTGAATCAGGTTGACATGGCTCCAGCGCAGTTTCTGGAAAGGTCTCAGCCAAGTATGTATCCTCCACGTTGCAAGGCGTTTTCATGTGCATCAAACGCATAAGAGTTGCTGAAAACAGTTCGAACACCTTGAAAATGCTGTAGCAGTCGCCAATTAAATAGAAGATATAAGGTCTGCGTTGATATCCCTTTGTTTGGATGAGAATACACCAAGAAAATGCCAACCTTACAGCATCTCACAGCCACATCATCTTAAACAAACCAGTGTAGAATAAAGGTGAATCAAGTAACCCTTTGTGGAGTTAGAGTGACAACTTCATCGTGCTCTGCATCGTCATGGTTCCTCTAGTGCTGGAAGATGCTGGCAGCCTGTTGGCCATGTCTGGGCGGCTGGGATCCGCTGGAGCCCAGAGTCTAGATCAGCGACCTGCGCTCAGCGACCTCCACGGTGGCCTGGTCTCTCATTCGGATCGACAGAACTCCTTGTGAAAACGGAGGTTTTTTGTCCGTTGGACGAAGGAGATGGAAGAACCAGTCAAGAACCAGTCGAAGCCACATCCACCGTGCGTCTCCACGTCTCCAAACAGATAAACAGAGATTCTCGCCGCACCTGGTTGAGACGTGTCTATAGACATGTCTACACTACCCCTACCTCCTCCAAGTGCTGGGGGGCCGTGAGATGCTGAGATTATCTCGCGCCTTGAGAATGACTTTTTGACTCTTTTTGATCTAACAACCTCACCAGCTTCTTCCCAAACCACTCATCCTGGCACATGAGTTGCATTTGAAATACCTGCAGGCAAGGCAAGCCTCAGGGTGACCCAAAAATAAGGAAAAGACCCTTGGAGAGAGAAAACCGTGGGGCACACCAAGAGGCTTCTGTGATCGTCTGCCACTGCTACAAATCCGAATGAACAAGGAGCTCCGACCCCCGACCCGGCGACGTGATTCTGCTCCCAATCTGGCTTCCCCGGCTGGCGGTTGTTCTTGGTGTCGGTGGTCACCGCGAGGCACATGGAGTGGTGAATCCTGACAGTTTGGAGACGGCACCAGCCCATTGGGACCGGTGGTCCTCATCCCTCAGAGCGCCTGTAAACCACGGGGTTCGGCCTCCTGGCCTCATGCACTGTCGCCTGTAAACCACTGGAAACCACCCCCCAACAAGAGCGACCCTCAGCAACTACCTCTACCCCAAGAGCGACCCAGTAACCTCTTGAATGTCTTGCTGGTGCAACTTGGCAACAGGGCTCGTTGCTGCTCAAATAGCAAAAGATGTGCCTAAAAGTCCTCTTCAGAAATGACCTAAGCGGGCATGATCCAAATTCATGCCCCCTAGGGCTCCAAGTGCCTTTTCAGATTGCATTTAGACTCTCAAACACCTTCTCACAAGGTACTTGGAGCCCTAGGGCCCCAAGGCCCAGGGGTCCAATTTCTGATTCTTCTCAACGCTTCACGAGTCGCCCGCTGTTTCTCACGCTCGCCGAGCACCCGCGCCCTGTGGCGACCTCATGGAGTGAAGGTGGAAGTGCAGCGGAAAAACAGGTGCAGGATTGAAGGACAATCAGACATGCCAACATGATCTGATGAGAAACCAGAAACTTATTATATTATATATATATATATATTGCACATGCCGCAAGTCTCGACATGTTCGGAATACTTTCGGCTTCTGAAAGTATGGTCTTATTTATGGGAAGATCTGTTGATCAATGCTGAGGGAGTCGGCAGCCATGGTTCTTTGGTGTTATTTGTAGCCTTGCGTGGCCTGGAGCACCATTTCATGGTTCGATTACTCAGTTTTCCACAGTTCCACTCACCACATTCCTCCAAAATAAGTAAATAACTACTTGGTGAGCCCTACACTTGGATCGCTTTGGGAAGTCTTGATTCGACTCAGGAAGGCTACGACCACCACCTCCCACCTAAAACTCGGGCTCTGCTGGTCGTCCAACGGGTTTCTTCCCGCCTGAACAATGTCCAGCTCGATGGAGCCACCTGAGAACCGGGACCATGTCCAACCCATGACACCCCTTGGGGGCCAAGTGAGGCCGACTGAAACAGGAGGATGTCCCGTCGTTGGCATCGAACGCGCTCCGTGGCTCGGGCGGCTCCGGCCACCCGGAGCAAAGGCAGCAAACGCGCAAAGCCAGTGCAGCCAACTCCCACGCAAAGCCAACGCAAACCATACTGACTTGCACATGTTCTATACATTTTGTCCTACCAGACTTTTGCCAAAACCTCAGTAGATGGACAACATCATCAAACCCCAGAACATCACGTTGTCTCCCTGAACCGCGCACCCCAAATCTCAATGTTACAAGTGCGTTTCTTTTTGATACCAGTTCATTTCATGTTTTTCACTTGTTCTTCAAACTCACTACTACAATTTGTCAGTTCTTTTTGATACCTTGGGGTTTGATGAGTTTCTTGATTCGTTCGTCCATTCGGCCCTAGTCTCCGGGAACAATGTCAACGCTTTGGGAGAGAAGCCTGCGCATGGAACGTGTTGAAAGGCATGGAACGTGGTAAAGTTGGTCTTTGCAAGCACTGCTTCAAGCAGCAAACTCGCATCCAAAAGCGCCAACACGGCTGATGATCCTTGTGAATATATTATGCATATATATATATATATGTCAATTGCGATTCACAGCCGACAGTCTGGAGCAAATAACTGCGCACAACTGCGTTAGTCTTCAACTTTTGCATTACCCGTGCAACACACACGACTAAAGGTGCTAAATAGGTCTGAGCCAAGGTTCTAAGACTGGGATTTCCAAGACCATCCCTTGCAAATTGAGGTCTCTCATTCTGTTGGCTTACGGCACAACACCATTCACTGCGGACTCTGCCAGTGCCCCTCTTTTGCCCTGCCGGCCTTTCACAAACTTTGCGGCGAATGGCCAAGAGTGACAGCCACAAAAAGTGCCCAAGAAAAACACACTATCTGTAACATCTGTAGCCTGAAAGGGGTCACAAGGGCGCCTTCTCTCAAACGTGCCCATGAAAAAAGCCTTGCCAATACATGCCAATACCAGGGGTCTTGCAGCAGCATATGACTCATATGACCATCCATCATGATCTATCATGATGTATAAGGGCCCTAAAATGCCCTAAATAAACGTGGCTGGTCACCTCCTTCATTCCCCAGCAACCTCGCGTTTGCCGGGCCCCGTGGGTTGTGGCCCGAAGCTGTGGCCGCTTTTCGGCGTCGTCGCGTCAAGACTGAGAAGCTTTAAGCGGTAGATAGGACACAAGGACCAAACACTACAGGTGCCCCTGGTAATATAAGATTATCTTTCAAGTTCCAAGCACTTTTGGTTTTTGACCGAGCGCGCCTCATCTTCGGCCGTCTTCGGCACTTGGCATCCAAAGCCATTCAGAATGCCCATTTCAGGATCCGTCCGCTGCTTGACGTCATGAGACATCAAGAGCCTCCAGCTGAGTGGACCTGGACCCTCTCCCCCTGAAACGCACCTCAGGTATGAGGCCCAAAACCTCAGGTGATGGTAAGTCAGAACATCATAGACGGTGATGGTAAGTGGGACACACAAGTGTTTTCCAGACGTGGGACACTGAGGAGGAGAGTGGCACAAATCTTGGTTTGACATCATGAGTGTCCTTTTTTTGATCTACTCTACGTACTCACCACCTACTCGTCTCCCTTCACTCAGCGTCTTCTTCGTGAGCGGGAACGAGAGTCGCTGTCACCTTGGAGCGTGGGCATGTGACTTGAATCATTCATGTGTCATTATTCTTCCCAGAACCTACAGAGGTTAAGTGACCTGAACTAGGACCCTACAGGGGTACCGCGGCACCGGCCCGGTTACCCCCCCGACAAGACAAACTTATAGGACCCGCAACCAGGGGTACCTATAGGATAGTCTATAGGGTTCTTCAACCTCTGCTGGAACCCCAGTCATGCAACCGGCAATCTGGTACCCGCATCTACCCGCTCTACAGCTCCAATCTGAACCACTTTCTGATGGGTAGTGCGTTGGTGACACTCCCTGTGAAGGCCTGTATGAGGAGGAATGATTAGAGTGTTGAGACCTATTGCGATGGCACTCGGCGAAGTACTCTCCATGCTTTCGCGCACCATCAACACGAAAGTCTTCTCACAAAGCAGTTTCTGAATCAAACACTTTTGGCTACCTCTAAGGTTTCCGTGTTTTTGGAGCCACGGAAACCTTATCACTGCACCTGGCACTCCCATGTAGCCGGCAACACGTGACTCTGAACAAAGCGTTCATTTTATTCATGTTTATTCCTTAAACATTGACCAACAGCAAGACAAAGCCACAACCCTCCCTCCGACCATGGAAGCTGAGCTGAGCTGTTTGCTCTTGGTAAAGGCGGGAAATGCTGACATGCTCTTCCAAAGGCCTCTGCTCCACTTCGGAAAGCATAACATGAATAGCTGTGCCATTACTGAACCGTCCCAGCGACGGCGTCGGCGGCGATCCTCATCGCGCCGGCGGTCGCGATCCTCATCTCTCCGCCGGTCATCATCGCCTCAAGTGACCGAAAAGTGGGCGACAACAGGAAGCAATGTTACAATGGGTCCAAACTGTCGTGTAACAAGGTAGCTTCCTGTGGACCCATTGTAACAATGGGTCCATTGTAACAGGGTCCGCAAACCTTCAACCTCTCACATGTTACAATGGGTCCACAGGGCTCCGGAAACGGCCCCCTGACCAAGTCAAAGCTCGAGTTGACTGGTTCTCTTGGAGATGTGAGTCTTTACCAACAACCTTCATTCCAGGATTCCAGGATGCTTTAGCCACACCAGCTATGCAAATGTTGGAAAAGCATCAAAAAGCTGCTGGAGGATCACGGTCGCATTTTTGGGTCGGGAGATAGTCAACTTAGGGAGTTGAACAATACCAAAGGATGCCACCGGGTCGGAGCCCGAACGTGTAGTCGTGCTAAATTTTACAATCGATATAAAGCTGAAATGTTCCGACCCGGTGGTCATGGATGTCAATGCTATGCATAGAGACCATGATGATGAGTTGTTGATCTGACCACAGAAGAATCCACGGGAGGTTTGAGGGGGCTGGTTTCGTTCGTGTGACCAGTAGAACACGATGGCGATGACAATGAGTTGTTGATGCGACGACAGAAGAATCTACTGGAGGTTCCGGCGGGGCTGGTTTCGTTCGTGTGATCAGTAGAACACGATAGTGATGAGTTGTTGATGAGTTGCTAAGATTCTAGTAAAACACTATGGTGATAGATGGAGGCTAACAAACACAAGGAACTCTCCAGAAGGCAGATGTGAAGCATTGAAAACAATATATGTAATTAATGCAAATGCAAGATTTTGCAACGTTTGGAAGCACGAAGTGAAATGTCGTCGACGTCAGTATGGCTCGAAATACTTTGCGCAAAAGAACTGTCTCATGACATGTGAAAACGCACGAAAAAATAGCGCGGCGAGCTGTTCGGTGCCATTCCTATGGGTGTTTCCACTTTTCCGAGAGAAAAAAAAAAAAGTGTCACGAAACAAGACCTGATTTAGGAAAAACATGTCAACTCTACCACAAAACACAGGGTTTTGTAGGGAACACAGTCAGTCTCCATGCATTGTTCACCCCCACTGACATAAAACATGTGGGTTTTTACATGGTTTTTGTGGTTTGGGTGACTTCCTCATGCTCAAAAATGCACACAACTACACGTTCAGTTTCCGACCCGGAGGAATAAAGATGATGTATGAAAGGGATGGTTTCCAAAGACGTGACTCTCCGAAGAGGAAAAACGAAACACAGAACCTGAAAACGGTACACCTAAAAGACTGTTCAACGTTCTCTGCAAGGCAAAGAAATATTTACAAAATTTCCTGTACACACAGATATATATATATATATATTATATACATATCATATACATACGTAGCACACAAGTGCGCGTAAATCACAACCTTCGCCCTTTTGAACCTCTTCAATAGACTTGACCAACTCATTCAGCCTCACTCCATGGCCCTCTTGCTTGGAACAGCACACACACCCAAAATCAAGCAAACCTCTCTTTCCTGTCTTTCCTGGACAACCGACCTGGGTGGGATCCGTTCCGGCCAAATCCAAATAAATCTGATGGATGATGGATCCCTCGCTTTCAGCCTTCCAAGCGACGGCGCGAGCGGCCTGACTCGCGCCGGTCGTCGTCGCGCCGGGCGCGGTCATCACGGGGGCGGCCATCGCGGCTGGCTGCGACGTTGGGACCTGCAACTGGGCCAGATCCAGGTGCACTTGATGATTTAAAAGGCACAAGCAAGAATATGTCAGATATGTACAACAGGGGAGCGATCATGAATGTATAGATTCTCAATGGTTCTAATAGAGGTGGTTTAGGTTCCTGCCGTTGCTAAGCCAGAGAGTCACTTCAAAAGTGGCCCAGTGGTGTCCAAATTGCTTCGATGTTAGTTCTTGTTCCCTGAGCATGTGGGAAGGCCTGGAATTGTGCACCCCCTATCGTAAAGAGTCCAAACCCTAGTAAGGTCCTATAGCACAGAGTTGGGTGGCAGGACAAGAGCTATTCTGGTCTTGATCACCGCTGTATAGACTTTATAACATGCTTTACGGTATAGCGCGTTTTCAGCTAAATACGCACAGAAGCAGAGTACACAGATTTGAACAGATCCATCAGCGTTATATTGTTTTGTAATAGTTAAAGTGCAGAACTTCCACAGATTCTACAGTATACAACTATAATGGATTGTGCATCAGAGATTTGGGACCTGAGCCATGTGGGTTTGTTTTTTAATAGGATGACCTCTATAACACACTGATTTAGTCTGTTCTTCGTTTTCCCACAGCTCTTTGGCGGGTCTCCGGCTTCTACTTGCATATCCCATGTTCTTCTCCTCTTCCGGTTCCTCCGGTGTTTCCCACAAGTTCAACCCAAGAACCATCAAGAACCCAAGCAAAACCCGTTCGCTCTGGGAGGCTGTACTGATTCCACGCCTGCCGACCGACCCAGGCTGCCAGGGTCTCATCGTCACAGACCGGCCTTCGTGGCGAAAGCGGCAGGACTCGCCTCGGTCGCAGCGCCCCCGGCGAAAGTCGCCGCAGACCTCCTGGCCGACGGTGTTGAGGGCGGGGCGGTTGGGGGAGGGCCAGGGTCCTGCGCAAGGTTCGGGATTGAACCAGGTGAATTCTCCTGAGTTGGAGCTGATTTTTAATTTTGTAATGATGGATAGTGAAGGTCGGTTGAATGTGCATGAACATATGAAATTGGTCAAGTCAGCAAGTTTGCTTTAGTTTGCTTTAGTCTCCTCAGGGCTGGCGAGAAGGTATGAAATTCTCACCATTTGTAGGCCATCGTCGTGCACCACCCAAAGCCATCAAACACGGGATTTCCAGTCGAGCTCCTTGTGCTATCTCAGTTCAGACAGCAGTTCTGAACTTGCTCAACTAGCTTCGCTGTGCACTCACCATCTCAAACAAGACATGCCCCTTTGGACTCCACAACGGCCGTCCCGTCCTGGAAGCCCGGTTTGCCCTTCTTTGGACCTGGGACGGCCGGAACTTCCCGGACCGGTTCCGGTATATTCCGGTCCCGGGCCCAGCTGAGATGGTCTAAGCCGATCCCCAGAGGCCCATGGAGCCCATATGGAGCCCGTTCTGACGCTCCAGAAAGGGCGAAGGGTCAAAGTGAGGACTCATTTTGAACTGATTTTGGAGGTGTCTCAGCCCATCTGGTGGAGGGTGAATCGGTTAGGGTAGATTATGGCACAATCTCGGCCCACTGTTGGCGCGCCCCAAGCTCGGCATCCAGCAATCTCGTGAGATGTGTCCAAACTCACCTCAACTCGGGCGGACATGTCACGGTGGTAGCGTAGCGACAGCGGGGCCTGTGCCCGCCCAGGAAGCTCACCGATCTGGATGTTTCGGGCATCTTTGTGGCTTGTGCCAAGGCAACCGGATCGGACCCATAAACCCAAAGACCACTCTGACCACATGTGTCTGCTGCAGTCTGTCACCAAAAGACGCCACATGCAACCCGATCTGGGCATTTCTGAGGCATGCCCGAAGCAGCACCATAATTAAGCGGCAAACGCCTTATCCCTTGAGTGTTGGTATGATCTGGTATGATTCAATGACCCCACAGACAGCAACCCCCTCGAGATTTTTCCAAGGGACCGCCTACAACGACACTTCTTTCCACCCCTTCGAAGAACATCGTTGAATCGTTGACCTAAACATTTCCCAGAAAGTCAACAATATGGTCCTCATGAAAATTCAAGAAGGGCTCTTCTCGTGCCAGCCATTCGCGCTGCCCATGCAAGCTTCATGCCACCAAGGCACCACATGTGTAGCATTCCCCCATTGGCTGCAGCGCAGCTTGGGCACGCCGCCCCCCACGGAACAACGCCAGCTGAGCCAAGCCGGCTGAGTCAAAAGTGGTCGAAACAAGCTGCATGACTTCAATCCCTGGAGTATAGGTTTTTGGTACATCCAAAGGCAAGCTCACCAGTTCATACCAGTTCGGTTTCCGGATGCTGTTGGCATCAATTTACTGTAATGTCTTTGATATTTTGTTTATCTTGCCTGGAGCATGACCGCCGTGTGGGATAGTTATATATAAGGGATGCTTGAATAGTACCAAAGGACCGGGGCCATTTGACTCTACAAACCGGTGGTGCCATGATGATTCGAAGGAGTATTAAGAATACACAGCTCAAGGGCCAGGGGCAATGCGCCAGTGATCGTCGCCAGGGTGAAATACCGTGTTCATTGTGGCAAGGCTACCAGGAGTGCAGAGTTCACTGGAGGAACCCTCACGTCCCCCGCTACCCAATGAATTTGTCACACCACCCTCCAACCCCACCCCCTCCATCAAGCTGGGGCAACCAACTTTCCTGCATCTCTTCAAGCTGGGGGATCTTCAGTTGCCACGGCCTGCAGGCAGAAGCCAGGCTTCTGCTGGCCACATTGGGATTAGGGTTTTGGTCTGCCATGCAACGGGATGATGATTCGAGAATCATCTGAGATATTCTGAGATACATAAGTATCATAAGTGGCCTTTGCCCAAAGCTGGTGACCAGCTTCTACCACCGTACTGGGAACAGAACTGACCATATTCTGAGCCGACACGCGCTTCAATCTGGACAGTTGTATCGTGCTGTCGGGGGGGGGGGAGCTGCCTGTCCGACAAGCAGTGCTGCATATGGCACATGCCTACCAACCCCTGTGTATCCATCATCTGCTCGTTTGTGCCCTGGTCTCTGTGACACAGCGGCCCTCGTTTGGGGGTCGGCATCCATGGCCTCTCCCTTCCCTAGAAGTCCAGGGATAGACTATATTTGGACCGACTGATGTCAAGGAAGTTCCTTTTGGGGTCCCCAAACGTCAGACAAGTCTTTTAAATATAGTGGATTGAGAGTAGATGGCAATAGCACGGGCCCCAAGAGGTGGTTGCCGTTTAGACCCCATCTGTTCTGGACATCACGGGGGCAACGTGCCATCGAGCCTCTGAAACCACTGCCAGCAGTCACAAAGGGGTGGTATCCATGGAGGTTTGGGGTGCCCAGCTACTCCACTCACTGGATGGGACGAACCAAACCACCCCGTCTTGTGACCCCTGGTGTATAGTCTTTGACTGTTTGGGCCAAGACACTCAACTCGAGTCCAAAGACACCAAGCGATCGCTGGCGCTTGCTCGTTTCGATGACCGATGGAGGGAGGGCCCGACGACCGCGAGTGGTAGGCTTAGCTGGTAGCTGCAGGTGGACGCGAAACTGGTGATCCATCATTCAGAGACAGCCTCCATATCATTCTCGAAGTTCCTTCTGGAGCATCGGTGAGCGCCATTGATACCTTCATCACTCCATATCCTGACTGCCTAACTTGATGGATGTCCTGCTCGCCCTGCGCTGATCACTTGGCTCCTTCCCAGAGAGGGTACTTTCCATTGATTGCTCTCCTCTCCTCACGTCCACTGGGTTCCCCAGCAGGTCGATCACCGGCGCTGCAGAGGGAGGGAGGCCCAATTGGCCACGGTCGTTCTTGCCTGGCGGTCCGAGGCACCGTTCCAAGGCCTAACCTTCACACGCCCGACCGGTGTGGGCTCAAACGTCGGCCCATCGTTTCGGAGTGCTTGGGGGCCCTTTGCTTGGCCGAATGTGTCCCAGACGACATCGAATAGAGGTGTAGAAGAGAAACATATACTGCGGGGCTTGTGACTTGAGCTAATGGTGAAGCCTTAATTAACTTCAAGGGTCCCATGCCTCCCTGCTCCAGTTCCACCACGCCCTTTTTTCGCCGGGCGAACCAGGTCCCAGCGCCGTTGAAACTCTCCAAATGTCTCGTTCGGATGAAACTGGCAGCTCACAGTAATCATAGCACCAACTGTTCGACAACATATGAAAAAGAAACGAACTCAAAATTCGTTCATCCTCAAAATCTGAACCTCCTCCAGTGGTCTTGGAACAAAGGCTTTATCTCAACAACCCGAAAAATAGACAAACTAAACGGATCAAACATTTGGCGTATTGTCTATTTACTCCAGGTCGATTTTGTGCAATTATATTACCCTGGAAGTACAAGACCACGTTTGAAAAAGGTTGACCTGGTTTTAAAATCCTCAGCAAAACAATGGTTGTTCCGTAAAGCCTATTAAATTGATGGTGGTTGGAATCCTAGGTCCTAGGATTATATAGATGTAATTAAGTAGTTTCCTGGATGCTGATGATTAGGCTAAGCCTTAAAGCGGCCGCCGTCGCTGGACGAATGAGGCAAGCTGACGTGCCGCGTGAGAGAGCGCTTTTCCAGGCATACCGATTTGGGCTACACATCTGCCATGGCATGGACTGAAGCTATATAAGAAATCCACAGGACGTTGGGAAATGCATGAAAATCCATTGAAATACTGACATCATTGACATAATGGTTAACATGCATCAATTGAGAGCCTCCTCATAGCCTGACATCTGCGTGCTTTTATATCACACATGCATGTGTTTACCCTTGCCATGACGTGTTAGGCGGACAACGTCTTGGCGGCTCTTATGACGAGCCGGCACCCTCATCAACTCTCACTGAGAAAAGAATCGCATCGTCGGTGGACTCCACGAATTGGACATGTTGATGGAAGAAAGCATGTTGCTACAAACTTCGAAAGAGGCGTTTCTTGACGGAAAACACGTGCTATACCGTGCTGCTATAATGCACCAAACAAGGAACCAACGGAAAAGCGCCGTGACGCTGTTTTCCATGTGGAGGGGGTCACAAGACGTGTCACACTATGGGGGCCGGGTCTTCGCCCTGTCTGGAGCTTTGAACACTGGACACTGGTTCAAACAACACCGGACAGTCGCTAAGGTTCGAGGCATCATTGGAAAGAATCTCTCACAAAATGTTCGATGTTGAGATGGTTCTGGCACCACCCGACTCACCAATGGGACACGCACAAAGCCCTATGCATTGGTTGGGCCGTCTTCCTATTCTCAGTTTTTTGGCTTGCATTCAATTAAGGAAATGCCTGGAAGTCCCTCTGCTGCCGGAGTAGCCTCCTTCCGCCATCTCCTACCTCTCCTATCAGAGCCTGCCTAAAAAATCCCTATCTCGCAGCTGCGATCTCACAACGTGCTCGCCGGAACCTGCAGGGTGGGGGTGCCACATCGGCGGCGGGTCACGTACCGCACGGCGGTGGCGGGTCCCGGATCGGATCTGCCGGGTCGGTCTGCCGCGCCAGCGGTGCGTTGACTCGGCGTTGACCGGTGGCCAGTCGACGTTCCTGCCGTACTCTGCGGTCTGTCTCGAGGGCGAAACGTGACCCACGCGTTCCACCCCCCTTTTCGGAAGAGGCGATTGATGTGATGATCACTTGACCACTGACCACATGGATCCAGAATAGAACAAAGCTCTACGATGCCAACTGTCAACCTCTCTTTTCCCCCTAAGCAAGTGGCTAACTTGGTGATTCGATTCTGCAGATGGATGGGTAGGATACCCAGGGTTAGGAACGATGCTGAATCGCTTGGGGTGAAAGAAGGTCCACTTTCCTGGTCTACTCTTTAGGAGTTCCATTGGCTGGATGTGACTGGAGTTATGCCTGTACTTCTGCATCAAAGAGGCTTGCAAGCTCTCGACCAACTCCTGCATGATTTCCTTTTCAACTTCGACCTTGGATGGAACAAAACGAGAAGGGGGAAAGGAAGCAATCCAGCAAACCAAGTGGATCCCACTGACTACGGACATAGCGCTCAACTACTGGCAAAGACAGGGGTGTCAACGAGCATGAATTCTGCTGCGAGGAAGAAAGATTCTCGACAAAATCCGGTCAAACATGGTGAAGTGAAAGGATTCATCAACTCCACAGACCCCCAGCCCGCTGTGCCTGCCATTCTCGATACTGCATGTACTTCCCGTAGTTCTTGGAAGAAGCCAAATCCTCACGCTCCTGCCGCGGATCTCTAACCCGCCCGAGATGGTTCCCATGAACTGGTGCGTTCGTCACTTTTGGGAGATGTCCCATCTACATCCATCTACCCTCTTTATTTCAGGGTCCGTGTACTCTTCAGTCATGGTCAAAGTTTCTCGACCGTCGACTGTTACAGGTCAAACCACACAACCGAAGTATGGTCCGTCGGCCTATCGCTGCCTCTTGCCCTGGCCAGCGTTTTCCACTGGCCAGCGTTTTCCAAGCAAGCAGAAGGGAAAGCCGATGAAACACCGAAGCAATTAGAACTATGTACATGAGGCTGAAACCCATCATATATCCCAGACACTCCATGTATGCCATATATGCCTACATTGACCCCCAAAACCACCCCAATGTAGGCATATATGGCATACATGGAGTGTCTGGGTATGAACCTAAACTTAACAACTCCAGATTCCCAGACTCCTGTAGCAGCCGCAGCTTGAGCTTCCGCATGGCTTGTTGATGTGCTTCCCTCAGCTGGATCTCCTGGGCGCAGACCCCTCGATCCATCCGATCCAGAGTTGGGAAACCCACTCAAAGAAACATCAGAATAGCACCTATATAAACCATGCAGGGAAACTCACACAAACCCGAGAGAGTTGATGGATGCTGATGGAGGCCATACAACATCATACAACTGCAAGGCCAAGCAGTCAACTCATGGACGACCAATCTCCTATTCAACGGGGGGCATGCGACTAGCCAGCGGCATGCAACTCGGGATCTTTGTTGCCATGGGTCACCATCTGCAAATTTCAATGTATGCTTCGGAATGGGGGCGTGAGAAATTATCCTCCAGCAGTTACAAACGGGTGGTATCCATGGAGGTTTGGGGTGCCCAGCTACTCCACTCACTGGATGGGACGAACCAAACCACCCCGTCTTGTGACCCCTGGTTCTTTCATCTTCTTTCCAGCACTTCTCTACTCCAAGCCCTGACTCTAGCGCCTCCCTCCACCGGGTCATTCCCCGCGCTGAGGGGCATAGTCTGACATCTCGTCTTCCCGTGGCTTCTCGATGGACATCGGGTCCAGCTCCTCAGCAAGGGTCCGTGGCCTCTGGAGCTTTGTTGCAATGAACATCTCAACATCCCACAACAAGTGTATCCCCTCCAAAATGGTACGAAAACTGTTTCTCTCTCTATAAGAATATGTATATATATATATATATTTGTTTTTTTGCTCTGAGATGATTTGAGGGCCGCTGTATATATAGATTAGACCTTGCAACTGTTGCCACTGCTTGAATGATTTGCGGAGTGCGTTCGTCTCGCTTTGCCAGCTTCCACGTGATGTTGACCACTTCCAATCCATCCATTTGACCACTTCAAATCTATCCATTTGTTGTGTTCAGGACCCAAAAGTGCGATGACTCGGGTCATCAAGCTGGAAGAGTTGCAGCCAACCCCGGTGCAATGGGCCACAGAGAAGCTGAGCTAGGCCAGGCTAAACATTCCGACCTGCACCAAACCCGAGAAAGATCCTCAAAGACATCTGAACATGTTGGGGCCATCTGGGGACCGAGACTGAACTCTTCCATTTTCACTCAGATGGGCCGGTCTAACTCCAAGTCCTCGCCCCACCTCCTCACCCCTTGCGATCTCTTTTCAATCCAGCCACTGTGGGAGCTTCCCCCAAGTCTTCTCGTGGTGGTCATGTGAACGCCTCCGAATAGCTTCTTGTTACGTTCGTAGCTTCTGGTTACGTTCCTAGTCTGGTCGACCAATGCCAGGAGCTACGTTCGAAAAAAAAAAAAAAAACGCGTCCCTTGCTGCGTAGCGGTCGCTCGCGAACTGCCCTAAACTGTGACGTTCGTTCTCGCGTCCCTGACCATGACCAAAGACGACCCGGCACTCGAGCCGAGCTCCCGACGCCGTCGGTCGAAGGAACGGATCCGCCCATTGGACATCGGATGAGTCGCCCATTGGAATACGTTGACATACGTTGCACTCGTCCCATCTCATTGGAGACTTCAGGCAGCTTATTTTTTGGTTCTGTGGTTCGACATGTAAAACGACCACGTTCCGAAGACCCCAGTGATCTTTTCGGGGGGGATCCACGTTCATCTGCAGGAGGGGTATTTCCAGCACCCTCCAACTGGTTGACTGGAACGGGCGCCGACCTGCGAATTCCATCGTGGACAGTGACCGGCATGTCGAGCCGGACCTATGTAGATGTCCGCAGAATCCGAAAATCAATGAAAATGCCTCGTAGTGAAGCAGTGGTGCAACCCCAAAACCGCTGCAAAAACAAAATAAACATACTCAAACATACTCTATCTATATATCTATCTATCTATCTATCTATCTATCTATCTATCTATCTCTATTTATATCTACCTATCTATCTCTATCTAGCTATCTCTATCTATCTCTGTCTATCTCTACCTATCTATCTCTATCTATCTCTATCTATCTCTATCCATCTCTATCTATCTCTATCTATCTATCTATCTCTATATCTATCTCTATCTATCTATCTATCTATCTATCTATCTCTATCTCTATCTATCTATCTATCTATCTCTATCTATCTATCTATCCATCCATCTACCTATCTATCCACCAAGGAATCACCAGATCAAAC